ATAAATTAATATTTTAAAATACTGAATATTTAAAATGTTATAAAATTTTAATATCATAAAAACAGTATTACTAGAAAATCAAACTCTTCAGCAGAACCATGAGTTCTCTAACAGTGAAGAAAATCATTCCAAGAAAACCTGACTATATCTCATGTTCAGTTACAGCAGAGCATAAGCTGTGAGCACATTGAGCTATGGCTGCATCACAGTGCTGTGGTTGGTGCCATCTGTAATAGTGCAGCCATCACATTTCAGGTTCCATGCCTCTGCTCTGACTCAGTACCAATCTGCTTCTGCATCCAAAGACTACAGGGGCCAGGCATATTTAACACATGGTTAACTTCATCCTAATATCAATGTCTTTAACTTGTTAGTCTCATAAAGAGTGTGCAGGGCAGTAGCATTTACTATTATAAAATGTGTTACCAGAATTCTAGGAGTGAAGCAGTTTAACTTTAAATGCTTCCTAAACTCATCTGGATCCCAGGAACTGCTACATTATATTACATTACATTGTCTTCTACAGTCTTTCATGATACAGAGTAAGGGTTTGTCTGTGACTGAGCTTACATTGTGCACAGTTACCACCCTCCCAGTTCTGGACTACAAGGCTCCACCTAGAAACTCATTTGGATGATGGCAGAGAGGAGGTGCTAAAAAGACACCAGTTTCCCACAGGTGGGAAACAGTAGCCTAGCCCTATCCTCCACTATTAACACAAAAGGAACTAATAACACAATTTCCCTAGAATTTTAATTCTTTGGTTAATTTCACTTCACAATACCTTAATATTCACTTCACACAAGTTTGATGGAAACACAAAAGTTCAGTTTCTGTGCAGCAACACAACTTACCTCAGGTGAACAGTTACTACAAGTACATTTCTGTGAGAACTAAATTTATCATGAGCCCTTCAAAACCCTCAAAGACCTAGCCCCCTCTTAGCCACCTACAACCTCCCCATCATTTTTTTTAAAAATACCCCCTTAGTTAAGACCACATTATCAATAAGTATCCACAGCTGTAACATACCATTCTCTTTCAAGAATTTAAGAGCATCTGAATATCCTTGCTCACAGATCTCTCCTAGTACCTGCAAGCATAGGGTAAATGAGTCAGATAAATGAAAGGAGATTCAGCTTAAGATCAACAATTTGCAGAATGAAAATCCACTTCCATCCACCCTCCATTCTTCAAGAAAAATATAAATTAACAATGTACTGAATTATTCACCTAAAAGGACAGCAGCATTCTAACAGCTTGCAAGAATTTCCCCCCCTTTTCCTTCCTTGACTGGGCTTTCAGCGGGTGCAAGTCACCATGAAAGGGTGGCTTGCAGTATGCTAATTCCCCTCCTTCCCTCTCAGTGCTTCCCACTTAAACTATGGGAATTCAGCTGTGTAATTCTCATGCTCAGGGGCAGACTTAGGCTTCCACATGGAAACATCTTTCACCAGGTCACCTACATGGTAGTCCTAGGCCAATATAAATATGCAAGGCCTACGTAAGTAGAATTTAACATTTTTCTTCAAGTTGCCCAAAAGCCCCCAATTAAAGTCCCATATATATCAGTCAGGAACATTGCTCTCCTCCATGTTACATCCTAAAAACTGGCAAAGTCTGCTTACATTTTTCCAGCTTCCACAATGGCAATTCAAGAGTGTTTCCCTCGTCAGATCTGCAATTAACAGTGCTTAGCAAAGCTTAAAGGCAACTTGCCTGCATGAAGTATTAAATAAGAACTCTACAAAACCATGAAGCTGTAGAACTTCTAAGTGCTGAAGCATGGGGTGAGCAGGTAAACAAGGAAGGATTACAAACTGACAGTTACTAATTTACCAGTGTGCTAATTCCCAAATAAATACTGAAAGCCAACAGCAGGACATGCATTTTTAGTCTGAGAGAGACCAAAAATGAGGGGGATGAAGAAAAACTGAGAAAAAAATAGAAACAAGAAGAGAAATGTCACCAGAAGAGTTTACCTGACTAGATGAAATGCCAAGATTACTGTAGCCCTCTGCAGAAGCAAGGCCTTTCTATGGAAAGCTGTTTGAGTCCCTCCATGCAGGCAAGGACTTACCTTGGGTTCTGGTGGAAAGAGCGCTTGCGTTAAGCGATAGAGGTTCCCCAGGCTGAACTGGATGCTGGTGTTGGTCACATTCATCTCGTGGAAGTTGGCAGAATTCCCCTTTGGGCAGATATCACACTCCCCAGCAAAAGGGGAAACTGTGATAGTGTTCTTAGACTCATAGTGAGGTAAGTTGTCACTGATTCCCCCGTCCACATAGCGCTACAAAAATTAACAGAAATAAGAAGTCTCAAAGGCTGAAAGTTTCTAGTCAGTTGATTTCCCATGCAAGACTTAACTAGCACTTAGGACTGTAACAGAACCATCTCTACCTATGCTCCCAACCTAAACATTTTGAGTAGCTTGCTTTGTCCTCCAGTGCCAGTTAAAAAACATTCCTACCTATAGTTCCATAGATAGCCTATGAGTATTCTACTTGGGATTTTTCTGTAGGTTTAAGAAATAGCAAATCCATTTTAAAGATCATAATCCTACACAACAGGCAGAGAGAAAGTAGCACAGCCATCTCTTCTTCCTCAAAGGAGAGCACCAACCAAAGAGCTACCTGGGTACTTCTTCAGAAAGGCCAGTAAAAGAATAGTTCTACATTTCAAAGCTCAAGTTCCACGATACTAAACCATTCAGCCAAAGTAACTTAAAATTACTCTTAGTAATTGGAATTTGATATGAAAACATCAATATTTGGACATGAAGAAACTGCAGGTAAAAAAGGATAATGCTTCAGAAACCTTGCCAACAGTTGTGGATTATCTACTCTTTGAGAGCACGTTTAGAAGCTCTTTAAGGTTATACTTTTGTCTCCTTTGTGTTCAGTTGTCCACTGCTGCAGTTTCAATCCATCATCTCACACACACTGTAAAATCCAAGGACTGAAGAGTTCTGTCTCAGGGTAACTGACCCATAGCACAGCAGCTGCTGTGACCAAAGACAGCTCCTCCAGTCACACACACCAGCCATCTTTCCAGCCAGACAAATGCCAAAGCTTACCTAGCTGACGTTCTGCTGTGTTTGAGCCCTACAGGAGTCATGCCAACCACATGGCAACTGTGGTATTTTTACCAAGTTACATAAAAAAAAAATGCTTCCTAAGCATTAAAAACACATCAAAATAATTGCAAAGATGAAAAGGACACAATGATTCCTGCCTTCCCTTTCCCTCAAAACAGAACCAAATAAAGCATCACTTGTATGTGTCTATACTCTGAACTAAGCCTTTTAAAATAACATTGTTGTCTGGTGACAAGAACTGAATAGCCAGATTAGCCTGGATCCACCTAAACCTTGGATTCAGTCCAATGTCCTGTTTTCATAACACCTTTAATCTGGAAGAGTTTAAGGAGACATACAAGCTATAGAAATACAGTTAAGGAAAAATCCCTATACACTTCTAATCACTTTTGCTTAAATTTCAGCATGAAGAAAATACATTCCATGTCTACCTTTTAGCACTTCCAGATTGCCTTGAGAACAATCTGTAATCAAACACTGTTAAAGATGTTTAAATCTTTCTTTCAATATTCTTCCCCTCTCCTTGTGCAAGAAGCACCAAAGTTGGAAGGAAAGCCAATGCAAATTAATACAACACTATGACAAAAAGTCACATCATTGACTTGATCTGAACTGCACTTCTGTCTCCAGATCTGTTGATCAGAACACCTACAACAAACTACAACAGCTTTTCTGCAGTTTCTGCTCCTTTAACAGGGGCTTTTAGAAAACCCAGTACGGCCACAAAGTATTAAAAGGTTTTGTAACCAGCCAAACATACTGATGCTTTGGCTTTA